TTATATAATAATTATTACGATATATATTCCGATAACGAAACGACGATATAACGCGGCACGACCCGATTTTCTTTTTATCTTTATCTTCTTTTAATACACTTTACTTTTTCTTAAAAAATTTAAAAAACAAAACGAAACAAAAAAAAACGCAAATAAATATATAAATCAACTAAAAAAAAAAAAAAAAAAAAAAACAAAAAAAAAAGAAAAAGTTAAAAAAAAAATTTTTATGTATATATATAAAAAAAAAAAAATAGATAAAATACAAGATAACAAAAATAAAATCTATGCTATGGAGAGATGACGAAAGACTGGAGATAATTAAGTACATTACGTTAAATGAAGAAAAAAAATTATATATATAATGAATATTAGTTTGGATGTAAATAAAGAGTGACAGAAAAATATAGAATTATCATTACACTGCATACACGCAATTATATGAATAATATAAACATTTAATTTTTCAATTGTAATTCAGATACAAAAGACGATTGCGTGCGTAAACACAATCAAAATTATTTTTTAAAATTTCGCATAATTTTTGCTACGAAAACTTAACTAACTAACTAAGTAAAATTAATTAACTAAATAAATGAACGAGTGTTGAGAGAAAAAATTTCATTAAAAACAATCTTTAGATTCATATCGAAAGATAAAATCATAATAGATATTATCAATATATATCTATCCTCATTTTGCACGGATCGCTTAGTAATCAATCGCAATGAATTAATAAACATTTGTTTATCGTTTGTGCAATCTCTGAGCATTAAAGCGTTAAAGCTCAGGTTAATTTCGATAATTTGATCTTTAGATAAGAAACTAGATTTTCAATTTAATCGCAATATATAATAAATGAAAATTTAAAAATTCAATATTTAAATATATAGTAAAGTATTGTGTTGATGGCCAAATATAAACTTTTTTATTATTATTATTATTTTTTATTTTTCTAATTTGAAAATTTTGAAATCCCCCTCAATTCAAATTAATTTCTAAACGAAAATTTACAACAATTAAGATTGCGATTATAATTTAAAAAAGAATAAAATAAAAACCTTTGGCAGATAAATGAAAATATTTTTAAAAATTAATTATTTGTTTTCGGTTCGGTTCCTTTTGACTTTTCATCGAAATTTTATAGAAGAAAATATTTTTTATGAAATTTTTTTTTTTTTTTTTTACAAATTTACTTAAAAACGTTAACACACTACTCACTCATTAGCTGCGATAACATATTTTATAAGATTTATACAATTAATTTAAAAAAAAAAAAAAAAAAAAAAAAAAAAAACGAAGAAGCAGAAGAAGTACCTGTACCTATACCTGTAACGTGAAAACTTTCAAAAATTATTTATAATTAAAATAAATATACGCAATTATTGCGAGAATAACATTTTTATACAATTGCAAACGTAACGGATTGCTCTGCTCGGGGGCAGAAATTTTTACAAACAAATATCACTTCACTTAATGAAGTGTTAACGATTTGGCATTCGGACATTATTACAACAAGAATCAAGTTAACTCTTTACGGGACAAAATAACTATATATATATATATATATATATATAGAGCGAAATTATATATATATATATATATATATGAAAATGAAAAATTTAAGACGCAATTTCGCTCTAAGATCAATCTCGGCGCATGTACTACTCTTGGAAGGGATTGCTGACGCTGCTTGACCTTTGACGGATAGCAATGAATGGTATTTGCTTTTGATAAATCGGGAAAGATATATATTTTATATATTTTTAATTAAAACTTGTTTTTGCTTCTTCTTCTTCGCCTCCTTGCTTGCTATCATCGATGACGTCTAAATTAACTCCCGAAGAAATACTTAAGAAATAAAATTTCAAAATTTACTGATCTAGTTGTCAGGTCGGGACATTTACCTTAGATGTGATATATAGTATATATATATTTTTTTATTTATTTAATTATTATTTGTTTTATTTTTTAAATTAAACTTTTATTAATATATATAGATATTTAGATTTTTAATTAATATAAGAACCCTTTACTTAAAAAGTAATCTTGATATTATTTTAAGACACGGGAAAATTCTTAAAAAGCAATGGAATCATTTAAATTGAAATTATTTCATATTTGCTATAATTTTACTTAGAATATTTAACTAACTCATCTTTAAATCTTCATTAAAATTGAAAAAGGAACACAAATAGATTGCCTGCCAAAGGGTTGGGTACTTAACTTAATTTAGTTTAAAAATTAATGATTGATTGATTCATTGATTGATTGATTGATTAATGTCTTTTATGATTTTAATTAAAAAGAAGAGAGACTAAAAATATTAGATTTTAAATCTAATTCAAAATTTGTCAATAATAGTAGTAGCAAAATTCTTAAATTACAATTGAAAATTTTATATAATAAAAAATTAATTAATTGCTAATTGCGAATAATTTGAAAAACCAAAATATACAAATAAGTTGACAAATGTGGTTGGAGTTATATGAAAGCAATGAATTTCATTAATTGCTATTGTGTTATTGTGTTGTTATTGTTGATGGTGTTGGCGTTGTCGTTATTATGTTTATAAAAGAGAAAATCTGTGAATATGTCACACGATTATCTTGTAAAATACATATAAAGTAGCATAGCATTTACACTTAAACGATATTACACACATATTTAGTAAGTAATAATAGTTTTAATTTTATTAAGGTTTTCTATTTTTTATTTTTTTTTTTTGTTTTGTTCCTTTATTTTTTTTTTTTTTTGGTTTTTTTTTGTTTGTGTTTCGTTTTCTTCTTCTTGCGGTAAATCAATAATATTTTCAAAAAACCTTAAAAAATGTTTAAAATGTAAATATTTCAGTATATATATATATATATGTACACATATATATACCTATATAGCCACCACTAATATAGAATAATGTCCAAAAGAGTTTATAGTAGTGCCTGGACTTAACTAATGACTAATGAACGCTACTCGAATCATTATACAACTTTTTGAAGATTTCAAGGCACAGCAAAATTTTAAACATTACTTAAATCTTTTTTTTTTTTTTTTTTAAGATTGAAGAGCAGTTGTCGAATTTATAAAAGTCAAAAAAAGAAAAAAAAAAAAAAATAGTTGTGCGGCAAAGCAACTAGAAAAAGCTTTGCTCAGCGAGGAGGAGGAGCAGCATGCTAGAAGATAAACATTTTACTCAAATAACATGCAACGAGGATTGGGGACGAGGTAATGAGATTTAAATAAATAACTGAATCAGCTAAGGATATATTTTCAATAATTGCATCCCCGCGTCAATTAGCTAAAAATATATATAATTGTTTTTTGTCTTATCGAATATTAGAAACCATGCGTGTAAAGCTACTATTTGCAAAAAACACTGGTCGTCTTAAATAGAAATTTTAAAATGCTTCTCTTATTTTGGCTCGATTTTAGATCTTACGATGATATTTTTCTTATTTAAGATTAAGACTTTTATAAATTTTTTTTTTTTTTTTTTTTTTTTTTTCCAACATTGTTACTAAATTTTCAATACTTTGTAATAGCTTTCAATTTTTAACGCACTTATTACAGAGAAAATAACGGAATAATTAGAGAAAAGACGTTTAACGTAAATTGCATAATTGAAATTTCTTTCAGAACGATATTGAAGTTGTAAAAGAATTTTACTTTAAATTTAGTGAAAAGAATTATTTTGAAATCTTCATGAATAAATATAGAAAATAATAAAAAAAAAATAGATATACGAAATAAAAGAGTTTTTGTAAAATTGAAAATTCTTTCGGGACCATATCTGATCACAAGACAGTTCGTTTAAGAAGTTGTAAAAGAATTTTACTTTAAATTTAGTGAAAATAATTATTTTGAAATCTTCATAAATAAATATAGAAAATAATAAAAAAAAAATAGATATACGAAATAAAAGAGTTTTTGTAAAATTGAAAATTCTTTCGGGACCATATCTGATCACAAGACAGTTCGTTTTGCATTCAAGACGCAAAATATATTAAAGATTGTCTTGCCTATGATCTTTGAATTTTTTACGGAACTATGAATATAATGCACCCCCATTACTGAACACTTAAGCCGCTTAAGCTTTATATTTATTTACTTCTAACGTTTCTTTTCTAATGTCGTCCAAAGTTCTTTTGTCTCTCACATACACGCATACTCTGGTGTATGGAAATATTTCTTTATTTTTTTTTCTGTTTCCTTTTTTGTGTATTAGTGGTGGTTATTGCATAGTTCGGCTTGACCCGAAAAATTTTTTTTATTCCTTTTTTTTATTTATATATATATATATATACATATATATATGTATACATATATATATATATATATATATTCCTTTACGTTTCCAAGGACTGTAACAGGTATTCTATATATACATATATATGTATGCGTACATTGTAATGTTGATGTTAGAAGAAGGTTACACCTTTCAATCAATATTATTTCATATTAATATTATTGCTATTGTTCTACGAAAAACGGACTGGTATTTGCAGGTTTGCTAACTTCCGCTAACAATATCTCTTTAGTCCCGATACTAGATTCACACTGTTTGTGATATTTGTTGATTATGTCTGATATTAACTTCTTTGTGTTTTTTTTTTTTTTTTTTCTTTTTTGCTTTTATCTTATTTCTTTATTTATGTGTATTTTTTACTTGTTTCTATACTTTCTGAACCTACAATTGATTTACTCAATTAAATACGCTCATTTATGAAAATTTTCTAAAAAGAAATTTAAGTCCACTTTTAGGGAGGAGAAAAGTGAAAATTTTCATGTATTGTGTTCTGAGTTAGTTGTTATAGCTCCACTTAACTATTGTATTATTTGGACTTAACCACGAAGCAATTTGTATTTTATATATATATATATATATATATATATATATAAATATATATATATAAATATATATATATATAAATATATTTTTGTTGTTGTTATTGTTGTTTGTGTTGCTAATTATTATTGCCACCTCAAATATCCCATTTTTTTTGTGTTTTTTTCTTTAGATATTGTACATAGCCACTAACCGATCAGATAATGTCGAAGGGAACTGATCTACAAAACGACGCCAATTTTCTTCTCCTACTTGGTTTTTAAAACCGTGTAAAATCTAGAACAAGTTTAAGTATGACAAATAAATAATGTTATTAACTGAGTTGCACTTATTTAATTTAATGTGAGAATCAATAAAGCGGATTCTTCTTCATTTTTTTTTTTTCATGTTTAAAAAAAAAAAAAACATTTGCCTGCTATACGTTGAGCAGATTTGAGACTCAATTTATCACGGAATGATTGATAGATGGAAGGAAATCAAATCGTAATTTGTGCATGAATCATAAAACGTTCATTCATTCAGTTTTTCCTTTCCTTTTCTTTTTGTTAACTTGCTGATGTCATCTCGAGAAACGTTTGTATGAAATTAATTACATATTTTCATCATAAAAACACTTCAGGTCGTGAGCGATTATTTGTATTCAGATCATTAACTTTTGTCTAAGGTGGGGAAGGGAAGGAAGGAAGGACGGAAGGAAGGAAGGAAGGAAGGAAGGAAATAATAAAGTGACCATGTAAAGTTGTTATCATCTCACGAATCGAACAGGCCACACGAGGCTGTATCGCTTTGACAAGAAAATAATATACAGCATTAGGACGTATCTTTAATGATATAGCATACTAAGCGTAACTGCTAATACTAGTTACTAACGATAACAAAGAATTTATTTTTGTCGTAGTTTATTCGTAAAACTGCTAGAATTAATTAATAAAAAATGTCGCAAACTAATCAGTAGAGAAACATTTGAAAAGTAAAAGAATGGACTTATATATACGCTTTAGCTCTCTTTCAAAGCGAGCAAAACGTAATCGGACTAATAGATATATAATCCATCTTAAAATTTGGAAGAGGGGGGAGGGGAGGGATGGTGGGACGGGCGTAGGGTGTCGCTAATGAATGGTATACGTTGCTCTTCATTATATTCTTCTTGAAATTATGTTTTCATATTTCTGTTTTTAAAAATCCACTTCATTAACTTACACTCACACTTGTTGAAAAATACCTTTTGTATCATTTGATGTAAATCTTGCGGTGGATTAACCCATGAAGCGATAGCATCACAAAAAAATATAAAATCGGGCACCACCCCAGCTGGATTGACTGTAATCATATGGCACATGCCACGAAATGCCGAATCTTTCTCATCGTTGTCCCTTATGTGACGCAAAGATGTGCACCTAAAGTGAATAAGAGAAATAGACTTTATTCAAAGTTCATTTAATGTGTTTTGTCTATCGTGAAAGAGGTACTTTTTCTGTAATTTAAAAAAATAAATAAATAAATAAAACAAAAAAAAAAAAAAAACATGAGTTAATTGCAAATAAAATCTTTTGTTAAATAAAAACTAAAAGATTGATTAATGTTCAAAAATGAAATTAAAAATCAAAAACAAAAGCATGTGCTACACACCACTGTCGTACAAATTCTGGCAAAAATGGAGCCACTTCAACTGGGCACACATAACCTAGACGACCGATAGTAATTGCTATAAAAAGAACAGAAAATTGAACAAATTTTTTTAAAAAATATATAAAATTTAAATAAATAAATTAAAAAAAAAAATTGTATGCAAATACACTGGGAATATATCGTTCGTTCTTATAAAATGAGTAGTAACTAACATTTTTGAAATTTTAAAGCAATGATTAAAAAAGCAATAAAGTTAAAATTAAACACGAAAGCGATGCGTAGAGAGGATTTGTATATGACAAAACCTGACACCGTTTAACATCAAATTTCAGATAAATTAAATATTTTCATAACTAATGCATGTGTGTAATGACAGAGAAAAGAAGAGAAAAGAGAGAGAAAAAAAAAAAAAAAAAAAAAAACAAACTAAACTAATCCATACATACAATACTTTCCCACTTCGAAAAACAAAAACACCTGAATCAATCTAAATGGCCGTTCGTTTTTGCTAATTAATAATAATATCTACAAAATTACCGCAAAGAAACTAAATTATATCTTAATGTTTAACTCAAAATGCAAATTCCCAGACACTCATATTGTTCAAGTGAAATTCAAAATTGTGTATTAAACAGTTTTAAGCAGCCTTCTTCTTTTATTCGGATATCGAAATAATTTTGTTTACGCTTGTTTTGTAATGTTACCGAGAAACCGAGAAACTTACTCCTTACGTATAACTAACTATTGAAACTGTGTATATAAAAATCGACTTAATGCCAAGATTTCTTTAAACTGCGTTTAGTGGGGCAAAAAAAAAAAATTATTATCTACCCTTGTACTTTTATATCTTATTGTTGTATTATTATTACTGGTACTGAAGAAAATGAAGCAACATGTTGCCTTACATAAGCATGAACGATGTAAATTATCTATGAATCTTCGAGTATTTCAGTATTCTTTTCATTCTATTTCTTCAAAATGTTCCATAGCTATATCAGTTATAGCATTTTGCAGACACTCACTCGCTTGTCCTCCAATTGTTTTCACGAGAAATCTATTATATATATATGTCTAATCCATTCATATGTTAATTAAACAAGAGACAATAACAGTTTTAATTACCCGGGATCGATCACTAAATATTCAATACCATATATATTTCGTTAAAAATCAAATTATTCATGGACATCTTATATGTTTTCAAAATCAATACGTAACAGAAGAAGGTGGCCGAAGAAGTGCCTCAAAAAACTTTGTTAATGCATTCGCATCTTAACAATTCACGTTTACAATCACGGTCAAGTCTATGCACGTTTGTATCGTCGTTTGCCTCAATTTTTCCGTTCCGTAAACTTGATAAATTATGAATCTAAATTAGGAAGGAAAGCAAAGCAGCAACACCTAAAGTGAAGCGTTCATCCAAGTGTTGTTCAAGCGTTTTCTCTTTCGATAAGTAGGAAGAAAGGAGATTATAAAAACCAATGTTAATTACATATATTTCGTTTCAAAAAGGAAATGTTATGTTACCCTTTTTTTCTTTTTAAATTAATATAACGATATATATATATATATATATGTATAATAACGCAATTATGTACGAATCAAAAAAATAGCCGTTTTATATTGTTAAGTTTGTTTGCTTTCAACAAATCGAAACCATTTTATATTATAACTAAACTAAAGGATTGAAATTTTCATCTACCTGAAGGAAACAATGATTTTTTTTTTTTTTTTTGGATATACAACTTACCGGTATTTTCTAAAAGTGTTTTTGTAGTATTTGGTCGATTTATAATAATAATTAATTCCTTCAATACAAGATGAATATACTGACGTGTCTCTTCACCTATAACATAACGTAATTGCAAATAGGAGGAAAGTTAACGCGACAACTAAATGAAATCAAGGATTATTATAAGTAATGCATTATGATTTTCTTACCCAATTTCATACATATTTCGCCGATAGCCCAAGTTGCATTATTACATACGCTGATATGATCTGGATTGAGATTTTGACCCAGAATAGGGAAAAACTCCGCCATGAAAGGATGCACATGTTGAAAGCAGGCTTTGGTCAAATCACCCAGTAAAGCAAATGAAGATTGCCGAACCTGCAATGGAAATGAATTATCATAAAATGCTACGAGATTTTTAGGGGCATTTACTTCTGGTAACGCATCCTGCATGCACTGATATAACAATTGCATAATATTACTATTCGCTACCAACGATTCTATATGACCGTCTAGACCCTCCGCTAGCCCAGATAGCAAATCTAAAGCCACAATCATACGTTCTTTGTCCGGTTGATCGAAGCCAGCATTTTGTTTCCAAGCCTTTATTCAATTAAAATGCGATTAACGATAAAACGTATTAATCCAATAGCCAAATAGTTTTCTTACCATATCTTGATTGATGGTCTGCTCAATGAGTGAAATACAACGTTTATATACGGGATCGCAATAAGGTAAGAAGCCCGATTGTAGAGCAGTAGCAATACTAGATAAACATTCGAGCAGCGGAAATAAGTCTTTGTCATCGTCTTTAAGTAAATTCCACTTCTCAATAAGTGGTGGCATTAGGATATCTATATATTGTGGTTTATTTAAATGATGACCCACCGAGTCCGCCAAGGTGCCGACTGCATCGTATAGTATCAATAAATTTTTGTGTTGATATTTGGAAAAAGCAAATACTAAAGTTTGCAATATATATTCAAGATAGGGAACCAAATCAGTGCAAGCTTCCTCTTCTAATGTAGCAAAGGCCGAACAGGCTGCTTCTTGTACACGTTTGTTTGAGTCTAAGATGCGTTTCAGCAATTCTTCCATGAGCGGCTTTAAGTATTGATCATGTGGCTGACTTACTACCCAATTGGCGTAGCGGGACAATGTCCAGCAAGTTATCGAGCGTACAAGAGCTTTTTTATCGGACAAACAGCTTATTAGGTACGGTATTAGCTCAGGCAGATGCTGTATCATGCCTTGCATGCAACCCTCAGCTATAGCTCCTAAGGCCAAAACACCACTCTCTTTGATCACCCATTCGTGGTGAAATAAAGTATCCTTGAGAATCGGTAAAACAATTGGCAAACATTCCTCGCGAAAGACATTAGCAAGAACATCTAAAGCAGCAGCACTGCATTTACGTAAATTCCATTCGGACAAAGAACTGTCATCGTCTAATCCACCGTCAAAGTCGTCATCCTCTTCGTCACCACCCCCACCAGCTTCGCCAGACTTGATTGCATGCGATCGCGACTTATGGAAACGTGGTCGAATGTCCTCTTCACGATCTGGTACCATATCGTCGTCCTCAATGTTACCCTTCAGTAGTATGATATCAATTTCGGAATAGCGCATACCACGCACCAAAATAGGGGCCAATTGTGGTAGATAAGGTGTTAAAACATCTTTACATATATTCTGTTCGGCCAATGATAGCCAAAATTCTGATGCTTCCAAAGCTACACCGTCATCAGAATCTTGGGTACGCATAAGCATATACTCAATTATTTGAGGCATATGCGGCAATAAACGATCCATTCGTACCTCTAGTAACATAACCAAACCATGGCACACATTCTTACGTACTTCATGGTCATCATCTGAGGATAAATTGAAGAGGCTTTCAATAAAAGCATCGATGTGTAACATAAGTGCTTGCGAACGATTAATTATAAAATGATTAATGCAAGCAATAGCATGCGAACGAATTTTGGGATCATTATGGCTAAAGTATTGCATAAATTTCGGTATCATAATATTTAGAGGTCGATTAAGAGCAGCTGAATCCAACACTTCAGCGTGATCTTCGCAAATTTTTTGTAAAGCACTGAAAGCACCCTCACAAACATTGTAATCCTGTGAGTCGAGCATCTCGCACAATGATGGCAGTAATTGCGGCCAATTATGTAGGCCGCCGTTGCTTGCAATGGTCGTGATCAAAATGCCAACAGTGGCACGTATCAACGGTGAAGTATCACCAATTGCCTGCAAGCATTCATGTTTAATATATTCAACAATTTCAGGGCGCAGATTATTGCCATGGTTGCGTATGTTATTCTTCAGGATCAGACCGCTCAGTGAACGAGTGGGTTCATCTTCAGCTTTAAGTTTAGTTAAAACGTAGATTAAATAGTTATTGAAGTCGGGATATTGATTCAGTTCCTCCAATTTCTAAAATAAATTCAACGACACAAGTGTATAAAAAGCAAAAATTTTAATAAAACAATTTAAGAGCGCAATACTTTTTTTTTATGAAATAATCAATTACATACCATATGAACAGCCATTTGTGTGGCTGTGTCTGGAGATTGTGATTCTTTGAGTATGGCTATGATTTGTTGTAAACCATTTGCTTGCGGTTCCCACGTCATTTTAATAATTAATATTTATCCTCTTTTCTCTTGTAAACGAATTCTCCTTATAAAATGTCCTCTCTTTAACTACTTTTTATCTATATATATATATATATATATATATATATAAATATATATATATATTTTTATAAAAATTTTTTTTTTTTTTTTTTTTTTAAGTGTTGCTATTGGAGAGACACGTATAAATAAGTTCATATGGCATATATCTCATATAGAATTAAAAAATATAATGTTTATATATAATGTCTATAAATATTAGATTTAATTAAAAAATAAACTTTTTTCTTAACAAAATATCAATATAAAGTGAAAATATATAATAAACATAACAATGGTTAGAAATTAATCCGTCAAGTGTTCACGATGATTCCGTCAATATACATAAAATAGTTTCAGAATATATCATCACCCATCACTTTTCTTCCTTAATATGCTAACAATAAGAATGAAAAAAAAAAAAAAAAAATTGTTTTCTACAATCTAAAAAAAAATTGTCGCCAAAGTGATATCAAGAAATTTCAGAAATCCCAAATGTTTAATCTTTCTTTTAAAATGTGGTCATTACACATACACACACCTAACATAACAAAGAGTTTGTCATATGACCGATCATTACTGGACTTTTAATTTTGCATGAATTTGATTAATTGGACACCCAACTATATGGAAATTCAATCAGACAAATATGAAAAACTAGAACCTCAGGCTAAGTGTTTCATGTTTAAATTGGCTCCGCCACTAAAGCAAATACATAATATACATAAAAAAAAATAAATAAAAAAAACCGTTTTTTTTTTGGACATTCTTTGCTTAAACGGTCACATAGCCGCACCATAGGGAAGATCAAATATATATAAAAAGCACAATTAAAGAGAGCACAGTAATAAGAGAGGTGGAAAACATGTTTTGTAGTTTCCTCTCAATGTTCAAACTGATGACAACTAATAGATGGTAGGGGCGAATTGACTTCACTAATGAACTGCAACAAATCGTTGCAGAGAGTAATACCGGATAATATACAGTCCAGTAAATAGTAAGGATTCGTTATTTTCGCCACAACATTTGCAAGGTCCAGAAACGCGCCTTCAACACGTAAAAAAGCGCATAGATTCTTGGTAATTTAAAAGGAGTTTTTCGAAACGGCCCATATTGCGAAGGGAATTGAAACTTCGAACGCTAATCCTTAAATACCCAATTCTATTGTAAAAATAAATTTGCGGGCGTTTAAAACCAACGAAAATGTTATACGATATTTGCCATCGGATGGCGGAGACTTTCCTTTCGTCGCTTTTGTGTATGAAAGAAAAGATATTAATAAGATAAGTTAAGCAAACATTAGTCGTATTGATTAAAAATTAGTAAACAGAAATTTTCATGAATTTCAATATACTATCAGGGAAATATCAAACTCGCATCATCGGATGTATATATAGGGGATTAAGTCTCAAGCCGGCTTTGTTGTTAATCTTAGATTACATTACAATGGCAGCATCAACCTAACGCCGCCGGAGGGGAGTTCGTTTTCTCTCTCTCTCTCTCTCTCTCGATCGCTGTTTACTAGCGTTTTACAAGTTTTTCAATTTGTCCTTTGTAAGAGAGAGAGAGAGAGAGAGAAATAGAGATAGATAGAGAGATAGATAGAGAGAGAGGAAGAGATAGAGAGATAGAGAGAGAGAAAGTGGTTTGTTAAAATAAAGCAAAGCTAAACATTGACTTCCTCCATGCCGCTAAATTCTTGCAATTCAAATGGCGCGTCAAGTGATCCATTCTGACCATTAGGGATTGCTTCATAGAGTTGGGTTATTATCTAAAAGTGCTTTTTCAACTTGACACATAATGGTAAACACTCTGGATGGAGTAAACTCATTTTTAATATAAATTTTTACTCTTTAACTTTCATATTTGTAGCTTTGTCCCATTATTAAATTGCCATACACTAACCTATTCTTCTTCTTTTCGTCATGGGTTGATTCAAGAGAACTGCGTTTTATTGCGACGCGAGAAATACGATTTAATTTGCTTCTCTTTCATAAAAGGTATAAAATCCTTAATCGAATTTCAATCTGGATTCAATTTTCTTTAAAAGACGCGATCATCGATAGTCAGAGTATCAAAAGTTAATTAAATTGTTAGTGAAGTCATGTCACATTGTCTAATGGGAAGTTTATCGGTTTAGATTAAAGTCACTGTTTGTTATAATCAATTAAAATCTCTTGTAGCGATCTTAAGAGCAAAAAACGCTTCAGATGAACGCCATGCATGGTTTTTGTTTGCAACGTCAAGGCCCGAGCGATTTCTCCTTATCTTCTCCTATAAGATAACAAACAAAATGAAACTTTTTCGTTTTCCATTTTAATTTTTCCTTTTTTTTTTTTTTTTTCTTTCATTAAATAAACTTTTTTAAAAAATTATATCTTGCTGAGTCTTGATTTTAATTTCATAAAAATGAAGAACAAGTGATTGGTTCCTCCCATTGGTTAAATCCCATCAGGTCAAGAATTCAAATACGAATCTGTGAGAAAATGAAAGAGTATTTCTTTGTTTTTTACTTTTTCACAGTAAGGGCAAATGGTCGTACGATCACCTAGAAGTTGAAAAATCATGAAGGGAAACGAAAAAGAGACGATATCCTTTTTCGCTCAGAAATACACTTCCTGGATGATCAAAGTAGATCTTATGAATAACGGATTTAATAGTTACTTTATCTCTGCACAGAGATTATAATTTTATCTCTCATGTGGCACTCATGTCGTGAGTAATTATGATTTACTGCAATAACTTCGATTTAAGGCATTCTCTTATCAAAGTACATACAAAGATTTCAAAAACCCATTTCCGAAACGTTCAGAGCTTAAGATCAATAATAGAATATGACGAAATAATCTTGATAGAAGACAAGAAATGAGGGACTGTGTGAGCATCAAAAATGATAACGAGCATAAACATCGACGAACTATAAATTCCTTAGAGCTGGCGATTCATAGATACTTTTTGCAATAAAGTATCCTTGAAAATAAGTTTCCATATATAAAAATAAATATTATTCACAACTTCTTTTTTTTGCAATTTTTCCAAATTCAGAGGATACGTATCACATATCTTATGTATATATAAAACGCTTTCCATTGAATAGTAGTAAAGTGATTGCGAACCGCGAGCCTTTGTCTTTACTTCTAAAATGAGAAACTATCTTAATTAATATAGCGATTGATTGAGTAAAAAAGCATCTGAAAGTCACCAATAATGATTAAACTTCCAATCCAAGGCAATAGGGGAAAGTGTACTAAGTGTACTAAATACAGATATTTACTTGTTCATATTGTTGTATATTAATTGTCTAACGAAACTATTCGACAGCTAATCTTTTGTAGATAACATATGAAATTAAACCTTAAAATATAGGTACATATTACGCAGTTAACGTATTTATGAATATCAAAAGGTGAAATTGTTTTCCATCATTCTCTCCCAAAATAATTAATTTTACTTAAATTTTTAGACGCAAAATCCCTTTAATAGCTTACTAAGGCCCTTTTCCAATAGACAATCAATAGGAATTTCGAGATCAAACTCTTCGTTCTTTTGTTTTGGTAAAGGATACTCAAAAACCAGCTAATTCTAACAAGACATTGGTCTCAAAATTAACGAAAGCATAATGACCAAATTATATCGCGGTTGATTGTCTAACAAAACTTTCGTTAGCCTCAATAATGGACTTTCTTCGCCTACATTATATTAATTTAAGCGATAATAACATTTTCGATTTTGTTTTTACGTTTTTTTATTGGCTACCTAGGAAATAAAAAGAAAATTGTAAAGGTCGAAAATTCTGAATGACCCAAAAAGCAAATGCATTGAGTGACTTGAATCACTTGGTACATTTACGATTATCACGCGGTTTATAGGAAATTAACTTAAATCGTTCTTTCTTTTTTTTTTCTTAAAGCCATTTTTCGAAAGACGTCCCGATGTTAATCACAATTTATCATATTTACTGACAATTTTTGAGAATTGGGAAAAAAAGACAGCTCTGACACGTCTCCAAAATCTGGGAAAAAGCTTTGATTGTATGTTTAACAATTATAGTTTCATAAGTGATTGTGATGTTACTTTAAACTAATTTTACTGCATATTACATTAAGTTATGCTATACTTAGTGTAGGTTACGTTGTAACACCAAAGTTTAACTTACTCTATACTCTTAGTTTGGATATGTAAATTGGAATGCTTTATATTACATAAAAATTTATGTTTACGCACACACTCTTTACAAAAAGCAATTGATTTGATTATTTCGAAAAGTATTTATTAAAAGCCAATGATCGATATTGAGAGGTTCGTTCTAAGCGAGATATAACTTTATTTAAATCAATTATCGACAGTCAAAAAGACGGATCAATGGTATCTAACATTTTGGATTGGAATGCCAATTAAAAAACAAAAAACATAAATATATATCTTTCTCAAGCCAAGCGCAAGTGATTTAGTTGACGTATAAATTTTATACGTTATGTTTGAAAAAACTGACATCAAGAGTTTAACCTAAGCAGACTACAACTTTGTCACTTAGTTATATTAAAACTAACTATTACAGATATAATAATGAAAAAAAACTTCAATTTTCGGATTAAAGTGTGTCTTCATGATTTTTCAACGCGGCAGTCAACCAGAAATTTTTTGATATTTGTTTACGAATGTGATAAAAAGCACATAACTTTCCACACATCACATGCAGGCAAAAGCACTTATATGAAATTCATTTTTCTAGGCAGACAAATAGACGACTTCGTCAGATCTTTGTTTTTTCATATTGACTATAAATACAAATTGAAGCGTATTGCAACAGAATCATTTATCTCAAATATCGCTAATTAAGACCATGAGGGCAGAAAATAAATTATCTGTCGATGTATACGCCGTAGATGTTTAGTTATTAACAAACTATAAACTATTTTCGGCATTTTTAAAAATAAATATGTAAATGGCATGTACAACCATCATCATTGCAGCCAGATGTTTTGAGTTCAAACAAAAGAATCTCCTTACAATAATAAAAGTTGCACCATTGTACTTTTCCCCTCCTCCCAGTTCTCCTCACATCATGGTGTATAACACAAATTCAAAAACAACAGAAAGCAGAAACAATTAAAGTGTCTGCCAATGCCAAGTGTCTCTCTATCCCGAAGGTGTGTGTGTTTTCTTTCACTTTTGCAAGCGTATATATATATATAAATATATATATATCGTGTATTCGTGCGTTTATAATTTTTGAATAGATAAATGACAAAAGTCCCGGTATGAGTTTCATCGTCACATAAGGTGGCAGTCATATTATTAACTAAGTAAAAGCGACGACCATGATTTTGATCGTTATTGATGTGAGCAAAACTTATTTGATAGAACCCTGCCTTATATATGTACCTAATAGAGGTTTGGTTGGCAGACAAAAAAAATAACCACTTTTTTAATCATCAACTAATATTTTAAAGAAAATGGGAAAATCTCAGTATATTACTTTGGATTTAACTATTATTTAATGAATTATATTATAATTGTTTGGCTATTGTCGAATAATAAAGAAAAATGTATACATTTCCTATAGTCGGTGAAATAGAACGCACATTGGTTTTTCTTTGTGAAAAACTCTCGTCTACAGTATAGCTTGCTTTTGCCCATCTAAGCGTCGTCCATTCACCTTGAGAGAAAAGTTTTGACAATTGCTTAAAACTTACGAAATTGTTTATAGTATTCTTCCTTTAATGCACTGTATAACTTTTTAATAGTTTTTACAATAAGTTTAATATCTTCAAACTTTTTTACTCTGTGTTCTTGCAATAAATTCTCTTTTTCTGTACGATTTTTCCTCTTACCAGCAAAAAACTACAAAATGAAGATTTTATGCAGTGTTACCAAATTACACAAATTTTCAATCCCATTCAAAAATTGTAATCGATTTTAATCGATTCTAATTCCTAGCGATGTGCTTAATATGAAAACCCATCAATAGCAAATTCTCAAATATATATTTAATATAGCATTTTTAAATTCAGATTTTACAAAAGAAAAATACGTTATATTCAAGGCTTGGACTGATTGTTTTAATATCCATAATTTTCTGAATGTAAAAGAAAAGAGCGAAGCCCTATTCATGTGCCATTTTGAAAGTATAAGTTATCTCCATTTATTTATTCAATATTTATATATTTCAAATAACAGTTTTATGCAACTTACCAACACTTGTTTTTATATAATATGTATAAATTCTGCTGTACCTACATGTTCTTCTTTTATAATTGTGAACGAAATTTTGCGAATAAGCAGGCGACAATGCAGGAGGCGATAGTCACCGAGAAAACGTAATCATGTAAGCCAATTCGTTGGTGATTGTCGACATTATATTAAGGTAAGCCTTTCAAATGAAAGCCAGTTAACTAAAAGACACGCAATTAAAACAAAGTAATCGCTTTAGAAAAAAGATTGATATTTATTCGTGACTATCGAAACTAGCTACTAAGTTTGTCTGACGCAGTCGCAACGTTATACATTAATAATTTGCACATAGTTTTAAGTTATTTATGAATTGTCTGCTTTTCGCATATATGCATGCACCAATTATATATTTTATCGTTCATTGCGGTTGTAAATAAATTCAATCAAAAATTTACGCAATTTTCAAATTCGACTTTTATTCTTCTTTTCGTGTCGTTTTAAATACCAGTAAGCATTATTGCAATAAAGCTGGCATCATAGATGACCTCCATGCCATAAAAATTAAAAAGGAAACATTTTGTGAAAAATTTGTTTGATTGATCAAAAGTTTTAAAATGAATTAAACACTTGATTCATTGTTTATGTCGTGACTAATTAATATAATTAAAAATTAAACACCCAGTTTAAGTTTTGCCCAATATACAAACTTCATGACTAATCAAAATCGATTAACACTTAAACAGTCGGCTTATTGTAAACATAGACAAATTTGCTGCGTAAAATATGAACAATCTGTTAATTTTTTTCAAGGCCAAATTCACTGTCACATATAAACGTATACACTTCATATCTATTAAAATAAATTCAACCGTATTTTCCGTAAAAAATTGGTTTTAGGGTGCTTAAAATTTCCGCGCAAGAGCAACAACATAAAAGAAACATTTGCCATAGGTTGAAAAATTACCTATAGCTAAATTAAGCATAAAATTGTGCTAAAAACTCCATTTTCTTTGCGCAAATATTTTTAAATTTTAACTTAGATTTTTTGTTATTCAAAATTACAAACAAAATACAAATTTCGTCTGAAAACCAATGACAAACCAAAGAATAATCGGTTAAAAAGATTTGAGCATCGGTGTACCGTACATTACAGGCAGATTTCATCATCTTTGGTTTGTTTAAAGAATTGGGCGCATAAATCTTCGTTTTTTTTTTGCTCGTGTTGAAACTTAGCTTAGATCGAGCAAGATAAATATAAAAACGTGGCACTACATAAATATGTCAGACCCAAGCCAAAGTAGGGTTAAAAGAAATAACCGATCTAAACACATTTCTGAGCGTTAAGAAGCTCAGAGAATACGATGAAGGTAAAGTTGTTGTTCGTCTTACACTCGTCGCGCTCAATAAAAGCGAGCTTTAATGAGACACGCGTTTTAGTTTCACTTTGTTGTGCCTTGAGCTTAACGATAAACTCAGTTCACAATTAAATGTTATAAACAAAAAAGACAAATATGTCAACGATCATCAACTGTTCTTTAATTTTTTCTTGGATGAAAATAAAGCAACTTGTTTCGCAGCTTGTCGTAAATCAAAGATGCCACAATTGTCAATATTGAAATTTTCTGGCGCAAATAAAGATTGGCCAGATTTCTTTGGAATGCGAACAACAATCATCGACGACAACCGTGAGTTGAGCTACATCGAAAGACTTCAATACATTATTAATTGTCCTCGTATTACAAATTTAAATCCATCTCAAAGTCATATGGCGGTCAGTAGATTGAAATTGTGCATCAACTGCTTAAAAAAGGGGCACAAGAAGAAAAATCTACATAGCACCGATATGAAGGAGACCATACAACGGAGGTATACTCGAGTATAGGTCTAACCAAACACATGTACTGCCTTTCCTAATGTACGGATCATCAAGCTTCTTGAACCAGCTGTTTATAAAACCAAGCGCGGACCTAGCTTTGCTTAACAGGAGCTCAATATGCAAGTTCAAACGTAACTGACCATAGGTTATTACTGTCACCCAACGCAATGACTATGTCGTTAGGTTTAGATTGCTTGGCCACTTCGCAAATGAGGATGGCCTATTTGTTATATATGAAGATATCCGAATTTGAAGGGAACATAGGAGCAGGTCACATATAAGTGTTTATTAGGAAATTTAGCTCGAATGGCGATAAATTCAACGTCGGGAGTAGTGGGAAATTCAATTGAATAAGAGGGGACTGCCGCAGATATAGCAATTAAAACACGATCCCCATTGCAATACAATCGATCATTTCTGAAAATCTGAAACGAATTATGGAAAAGCTCTGACGAATGTAAATCGGGCTTTAACCAAGTTTCAGTGAAGGCCAAACATGAAAACTCCGTGCTCACTGAATTTAGGAAAGTAGCGGGAATTTTTGAATTTAGACCTCTAACATTTTCATAAATGAGAGGTACTGAGCCTGAAGAAATATTTAGTTTTTTGAAAGGGAAATGGCTACTGTATACTGGCATTAGTATTACGAGGTCGATCACGAGAGATAAATTCCTTAATTAAGGATCTACAATGGTTTATTTAACAACATGTTTTCAATCGGAACTAGAATTTTGAAAAGCGAGATTGCTTTAGGTTGAGGAGGAATCAATTTGAAAATGCTAACACGCTATAAATTGACAGATGGGACTTTTGCCGTCAGATAACTTTTCATGTTATCCACAGATATATCAGGTGCCAGTCTTGACACAAATATTGCTCTTCTGAGAGGAACTGCCTTCAAGCAAATGTCATCTGTACTAGGAGCAGTAGGGTTCACGAATGGGGAATTTTGAGTTGGGGAGAATATAGAAGCGGGAACCACACTTGCAGGAGCAGCTTGTGCGACGTGCCAAGTTTGGCGAACAGCGTTCACACTCGAACAGCCAGGGGGAGAGGACGATTAACTATTCTCAATATTAGTTTTAAGCGATGACGCCTAAGTAGATTGAGTGACACCAGTGAGAGGAGATACCCTTAGCAGAGCTGAAACCAGAGGGACTTCCCTGCTTATTTGTAACTTTTTTGTTACCGTCCGGCTCAATAGTAGCAGAAACACTAATGTTCTTTGTAGACTTTGAGCATTAATAACTGAGAGAAACGTAAAAAATGAGAGCCAAATTGTCGTTTCTTTGTGTTGTATACATAAACTGGACACAGGAAGCAATAACAAGTATGCAAAATGAAACGAAAATTATGCTGAGTTTGTGTTAGTCCATAAAATGATAAATGAATTTGCATGTTGAAATAATCGATTTACCAGAAATTTACATTTCATTGGTGCAGGTTTTTAAAGAAGAAGTTCCAGTATATAAAAAGTTTTCTCAATCAAAATAGGAAGTAATACTTTCAATATTTTTTTAACTTTTATGTGAATTTTTGTGCGAGTTACAACTTAAAAATTTATTTATATTTTTAATATTATTGAAATATTTATAAATTTTGTGGCAGCAATTCAATAACTTCCTTAGCCAAGCGCCTCAATGGTGGTGTGCCTACACAAATATCAACACCATCATTTTATACATCGCCGGTGCTAGAGTATTCAAACAATTCCCTTCCACTTTGTAGTGGACGCAAATGTTATGCAGCGCTGCACAACCTTTTGTGTGTCTTCGCAGCTTCTTTGCGCTGTAGTGCTGTAGAATGCGCTGTAGAATGCGTCAACTATCTAGAGAAACGTCTAAAAGCTGCAGTCATACTTTCAACATACTAAATACTGTAGTACTAACTTTTATATACACCATTGCATCTTTCCATAATGTTACTCGGCTGCAATGGATTTCGTTACATTGTTTTTAAGGGTATCTGTCAAACTTCGTAAGGTGTCATTGGCCAACCTCTAGGGCGTATTTTCTATCACTTGAAAAAAATTAGAAAGGTGTAAAAGTAGAAGTAGGTGTACAAATTTTGTGTCCAACTTTTGTAACGCCTCTGATACAGCGGTTGATAACGCGCTTTAATATTAATAATTTACTTACTGATTCTGAGGTAGCACTAGGAGCGCGTAAACATTCCGCAAAGCTTTTCTCGCCCTTTTCTCAATAATCCTTTCTTCTGCGCGGCGGTTGTCATTGTTCAAAAAATGTAATGTCGGACACGCTTTATTTTTTTTAATTTTCAAAAATTTTTGAATTAATAATTTTTTTTCTAACAGCTTTTTATATTTATCATTTGCAGTTGCCCTTTTACAAACGCAACACCTAAAAGGGATTTGTGATAGCTTTGGTTAGTTTTTACTCAGTACTTATGCAAATTTATTCTCAGCGATAGCAATTTTACTGTCGTCAGATTTGATGTAACTGAGAGAGCGCATTTGGCGGTAGTCGCCAGGAAATTTGCCAAAATGATTACATTTTCCTGGCGATGATCGCTCAATGCCTGCTTACATGATTAGCCTCCTTAGAATGAATATATAAGTCCAACAGTCTGCATTCTTCATAGTCGATGCGACCAGATTATTTAAAATAAAAGAGACAAAGCTTTTCATTCACAAGCAGCTTAGACAATGGATACGGATTCAACTTCGAATAAAATGTATTTTGTATTACTATTTGCTTCTTTTTTTTTTGATTTATTTTAAACAGCATTATTTTCACGACGATTTTTATATGACATATGATTGAATTTCGTTTTGCTGCACTTTTCGCCAAATTTCTATTGTTAACCATTTTATATTTTAAATTTACTTCAAAGTGAAGACTCTTAAACGTCGTAGTAATATTTACAAAGAAGAGTTTCCGATATTCTTTTCCGTTTAGTTAATGATTCACTCTGTTGAATTATCTAATCAATCACTACGCATTAGTAAAATTTACAAAAATTCCTTTTGATTTATCCTTAAAAACTTTTTTTATAGGTTTTTTATACGATTGGCTTAATAAAAATCCAATCGCAATCACGGGAGAAAAGCAATGTAATCATATAATCTGGCAACGCTTTTTTTTATAACATATGTTCATTGGCGTAATTTTAATTTGTGAAATTTAACGAAGCCAAGCATACTAACCTGAACGAATAAACGGTTTTTTCGAATTTAATGCACTTTTACGCTTCGTCAAGTTAAGAACTCACTCGGGGGTAGTTTCAAGTGTCGAGTTAAATTATTACAAAAGTGTATCAGAAATTAAACAAATTTATTTCGATGAAAATGAATCTTTCGTGTCAACCTGCTAATCAAACGCAGCGGAAAACTAATCAAAATATACAAGTTTATGTTCGTTTAAGGTAAGTGTGTATGCGCAGTGTGCTTTTTTGAGCGTCCTAACGTGATAGAGAAGAGGGAATTTATTTGTTTTAATAAAATTCTAGGCCACTTAATGCGCGTGAGAGACATATACGTTCTACTGAAATTATTGAGGTTTTATCGCCTAAGGAGATCGTAGCACGTCATTCCGTAGAGTCGAAATTAACCAAAAAATTCACATTTGATCGTACTTTTGGCCCAGAATCTAAGCAGGTAGAAGTCTACTCAGCAGTAGTAGCGCCACTAATTGAGGAAGTATTAGCTGGTTACAATTGCACCGTGTTCGCTTATGGTCAAACGGGTACAGGCAAAACTCATACCATGGTGGGCAATGAATGTGCCGAATTAAAATCCACATGGGATGATGTAAGTTTAAAAAGATGTTTAAAAAAAAAGATTAAAAGTCAAAGAAATCGATTTTAGGATTCCGATATTGGCATAATACCACGAGCTTTGGGTCACCTCTTCGATGAATTGCGCATGCTAGAAATGGAATTCTCAATGCGTATTTCCTATTTGGAATTGTATAATGAAGAGCTTTGCGATCTGCTATCCTTGGATGACAGTACTAAGATACGTATTTTCGATGATAGTACAAAGAAGGGTTCGGTTATCATACAAGGACTTGAAGAGATATCAGTGCACAGCAAAGATGACGTTTACAAATTATTAGAAAAGGGCAAAGAACGTCGAAAAACAGCTAAAACTTTAATGAATGCTCAGTCATCGCGCTCGCATACGGTTTTTTCCATATTAGTGCACATTAAAGAAAATGGTTTAGATGGTGAGGAAATGCTGAAAATTGGCAAATTAAATCTAGTAGATTTGGCAGGTAGTGAAAACGTCACCAAGGCAGGAAATGAAAAGGGTATACGTGTACGCGAGACGGTGAACATAAATCAAAGTCTATTGACTTTGGGACGTGTCATAACTGCTCTAGTGGAGCGTACCCCGCATATACCATACCGTGAATCTAAGTTGACACGTTTGCTGCAAGAATCGTTGGGTGGTCGCACTAAAACTTCAATAATAGCTACAATTTCCCCGGGCCACAAAGATATCGAGGAAACATTAAGCACATTAGAGTACGCACACCGAGCGAAGAATATACAAAACAAACCCGAAGTTAATCAAAAACTTACTAAGAAATCTGTGATTAAGGAATATACCGAGGAAATTGATAAACTTAAACGTGACTTAATGGCAGCGCGTGATAGGAATGGTATCTATTTAGCTGAGGAAACTTACAATGAAATGCTTCTGAAAATGGATTCGCAAAATCGAGAACTTAATGAGAAAGTGTTGCTATTGAAGGCCTTAAAGGACGAATTGCAAAACAAGGAGAAAATATTTAACGAAGTTAGCTTGCATTTGGTCGAAAAGGTGGAAGAATTGCAAAAAGCCGAACACAATCTAAATCAAACAAAGGGTGTTTTACTGCAAACTAAAAAAATATTACACAACACCAAGCGACGTTATATGGAAAAAAAGGTCATTTTAGAATCGCACGTTAAAACTGAGGAATTACTAACCAAACAAGCTTCGAAAATACTGGAGGTAGCGGATATAGCTACTAAAGATACGTGTGCTTTACATGTAAGTAAAAAAAAAGAAGTTAAAACACTATAGTGGGACACAGTCACCATTAAATATTGTACACCGCTGTTTAATACAGTTATCCATATAATGGTTTTTCAAAATAAGATGTTATATGGAAAGTTATCGAAGGAATGTTCCGACCCAAACCATTTTCGATAGCATCAGTCCTAAAATCCATCCAACTACCTCCAAAACAGCGGCTTGTAGGTTAACCAAAAAGCTGACAGACGGGCGGACAAGTGATTCGGAATCGATCAGTTTGATAAAAGATGGGTCTATCCCAAATATTTCTGGGTGTTGCATACATCCGAACAAACTTAATACGCTCTTGTGGTCCAAGTTGTGCAAAAGTGATATAAAAATAATTTTCTTGATATGTTTTATCAGATGCCAAAAATTGGAAGGGGATTAGGTGTTTCTTTCTGGAATTATGCTGTAAGGGGTTAACAAAGTAGGTAAATCCTTGAGATTCGGAAATTCAAGTGATTCATTGCAATTCTTAAAATCAGAAAACTGAGAATGAAGAACAAGCTCTAGGCTCATATCAAATCATTTTTATAGATTCAGTTTATAAATGAAAGGTGAACTACTAATGAAAATACTAAAGAATACCTCAAAGTAAGGAAATTTTTCAAATTTATCAGAATTATATCAAAATATGAGATAAAAATTGTTTCAGTATTCACATTTTTACTAACTCATTATAAAAAAACAATGAGTAAAAATATCTTTTGCTTTAACAGGACACTATTGAACGGCGCAAAGATGTTGATGGCAAAATACAAAATGTTTGCCAGAGATTCTCAGAACGCATGAACAACAATTTCCAATTAATGGATGAAAAATTGAATAATCTACAAGTGCAACATCAAAGTCTTACTGCCGGTATCGGTGAAGAGTTGAGTGAGTGTTTCAATTATGGGAGTTTTGCTTTTCATATTCTAATATAATGTATTTAAATCCTTCAGCGAACACTGCTTCCTTGCAAATGGAACAGGTTGAGAATGTTGAATTAAAATTAAAAGAGATCAACGAATTAAGTCAACAATCTTTAACTAATGCCTGCAGCATTATTAATAATTTTGTTGAAAACATTAATGGCTTAGGTAATGAAAACAAGGAGAAACTCTCTAAATTATTGGAAACATTAAAGAAAAGCAATATTGGTTTTGTTCAAGAAATCAAAGAAAATTTCAATCAATTGGAACAATGTAGCCAACAACAAAAACGAACTATCGATCATATGCGTAACAGTATTGTAAAACTTTTAAAGGAGAAGCAAAGTGATTTCGAAACGCATACTGGGCAGTTGCAAAGCAAAATTAAAATCATGAAACAATACACAGAACAAAATCGACAACAATTGCTGGAGATAAGTGAAGTTATGGACGAAAAGAGTGCCTTAGAATACCAGGAACAACAAGTACTTGAGAAATTTCAAAAGGAAATGCAAGATATACAAGAACGTGGTTTTGCAGAAATGCGCCTTATACAGAAACGCCGATGCGCTGAATCTGATAATATGAACAGAGCCGTGGATATCATAAAAACGAACAATGACAATTTCTTAAATGAATTAGAGCTGAAATCAAAAATGCATTCTGAATTTTTAACGCAACATCAAAATGATGGATTAGAGCAGCAAAAAATAGCAGAAAGTCAAAGTGCCGAAGTGGAACAAAATGCTGAACGAAATTTCGCCATATGCTCTAATCTACGGAGACAGTTAGATAATATGCATGAAAAGGGCGCAGAACAATTGCAAGCCTTTATGCAAAATCACACGTCCTACGATACGCAAATTCAGCAGCTAAATAGCGGTTATGAGAATCAAATGAAATGTTTGAGCCTCGAAGGTTATAAAAAAGTGCAAATGTCAACGGACCGCGTTAAGCAATTAGCGGTTGAAAATGCGCAACGTTTAAAGAATCATATTACAGTGGCCGCTAGTTTGAATTCGACTATTGAAGATGTTGTAAAACATTACGCACAACTGCATCAAGAGCAAATGAAGATATGCGTGAATGATGTGAACATTTTCAAGCAAAATGAGCTGAAAACTTACACTCCCAGTGGCTCAACACCTTCGAAAAAGGAATTCACCTATCCACGCGTGTTGGCGGCAACCTCGCCGCACACGGGCATACTTAAACGTTTTCGCCAAGAAAATGGGATTGACACCACGTCTGATATGGATGCTACGGTGACTATAGAAGAGGTAAAAGCAATAAAAATTGAATGTGTTTTATTTATAATATGTATCAATATCAGAGAAATAGACTTAATTCGTTCACGCCTTCCGATACGTCTCTACTGTATTATTCGAATTTTCATAGTTTTAAAAATGTTAAACTTAAAATTAACTGCAACAGATCACATTTAATAATCAACATTATTCTCATAAATATGTTCATAGCAGCTGCAAAGATAAAATATGTTCGAGAAGAGGAGAAAAGTTTATTTGAAACGCATATGGCAAACATCAATTTCAAATTTAAGAAAAGTATACTTCAATTGAAATAATTACTCGGTATTGTATTGAATTAATGATGATTAGATTTTTATGTTTCATTTCATTTCCGTTACGTATGCTAATTTAACTCAAAAGGCAAATAACGATTTCTGTTTGGGCATATGATTGATGAGCAAAATTTATTATGAAATTGCAGGAAACGCTCTTAGAGGATGATATTGATGACTCGGTGCAGTTACTCTCGGACGCTGGTGTCGTACTCAATTCTACACCAGTTGAGGCGGAAGCCGCGTTACCACCGAAACGATCTAGTCGCAGTAACGAGAAACGTTACGAAAACGACAAAAATTCGAATTCGAACACTTTACAAGTGCCAGCATTGCACGATTTACCGTTAAATAAATTATCACCAAGGAAGCGTTCACCAACTGGTAGCATTGATTCGAAATCAAATGCAGTTAAAGTGGTGGCAGCAAATCGTTTAACAATTAATAAACATTCGCCGACACTTAAATTATCCCCGAAAAAACACTCACCAACTTATTCAAACGTAAGTTTTGATTTTATTTTAAAAAATATCGGTTTCTTTCCTATTGATTATAGTTTCAATTACAATTTCAGAAAAATAAAGAAAATGTCGCCTAATTCTTTATTTGTGCTTGCATAAATGGTTCCAACTCTAGAATATATGTTTGTTTAAGCCTTTTCTATTATAATTGCTTTACATTTTTTTTTTTTTTTCTCTTTTTTAGTCGCTTTTTATAAGATTTTTTCTTAAACTCTTTCTTTTCTTTTTTTTTTTTTTTAATTTAAATTTTAATTGATTAATTATTAAATCTTCTTCTTCTGCTGTATGTATGTAAGTTTGAATGCAATTAAAATAAAATAAAAGTTTTTTTAAACATCTTAATCGTCATCATCATCTTCATCTTTTAAAATACCTAAACGTCTAGCTACCTCCTTAACATTAGCTATAAACTCTTCTTGCACTAAGTTGAAGCTCATGGCTAGTAAAGCAATACCGAACAATAGATACAGCGAACAATAGGCAATAGATTGCTCGGATTCGTCTTTTACACCTTTGGCAGGCACGAAATCACCGAAACCTGAAATAAATATATTCGAAACGGAGTAAAGTGATGAAAATGTCGTTTAACGTTTAGCTCTTAAATTAACATCATTTTGTAGGTAATTGTATAAACTAAAATCTATCGCATATCAAAAGATTAAGATATACGATCTCCCTAAGTAAGCGGCCGCCAAAAAGATTTTTCCCTTTTAATTATGGCCTTAAAGATTGTGAAACTTTTCAATTTGAACGATTTTGGTCTAAGTAATTACCTACAAACTGTTACCGAATTATAAAAAATATGATGCTTGAACAATTTACATTCGTTACGTACGATATATTGAGTGAATAAGTTTTCTAATTAGTAGTAAACGATAAATTGCGTTAGTTTATTAATAATGATTTTCTTCTTCTTACCTATAGTTGTTAAGGTTATAAAGCAAAAATATGCGGAATCGAGAAAAGACCATTCCTCCCAATAGGCAAACAGGGCGGCTCCGCCTAATATGTAACTGATAACTAAAAAAACACATAACCATATCGGTACTGGACGATCTTTAGGTGAGATATCACCGTAATAATCACTCCATTCATCACCATATAACGAATCTTCATCGTATTCATAACTGGGACGGCGACGTACTTGACGTTTTACAGCAAAACCCATTGGTGACATAATGCGCGGGGAAGGCGGTAAACGATCTGTGAAATTGTAACTCATTTGTAAAAAGCATATTTTTTTATGATGACATAAAATTAATTTTTTAAAAATCCTCTATAAAGAAACGAATAGTAGGCAATTATATGCTTCGTTAACTAAACGAAAAAAAAAAAAAAAAAAAAAAGAAAACAATAATTAAAAGTATACAATACGCGAGTTTTTATGCCTAGCACCCACCACCCACAATGAGTGACGTGGATATTAGGTTTATGTTATCGTTTGTAACTTACAAAAATGGCCATAGATCAAACTAAAAAATTGGATTTGATTCATTCACAAGCAAGCAAGGCCACAATATAGGCAAATAGGCAAATAGTGGAATCGGTTCTCGAGATCTCGTTCTCGTACTTGAATTATCGTATGATAAGTTGATTGATGATCGCGTTTTGAATTTATAAAACTCAATTGCTTTCGTATCAACTTGGTCTCCTCATTCTCGTCGATTCTTTGCATTTACAATGAAATATTTGTAATATCATCGGTATTTGTGTGTGTTAGTGTCATAAAATAATGCAAAGAAGCGAAGCGAAATAAAAACAAAATGAATATAAATTTTTAGAAAAAAAGATTGACGAGAAAAATAAATTCTATTATTGAATTTGATTTGTTTAAATTATCTACTTCTCTTCTGCTTCTTCATACCTAGCTTGATATATATGTAATTTTCATATTAAATTTGTCAATTTATTTATACGTTGCTCAAAAAGACCTTAAAATACCACATTTCTAGAATAATTTTTAAATAGTTTCTAGTGTTCGTACGTTTCCATTTTGTGTCATTCTGATCATTCCCAGAAATTTAATTCATTAATTCCATATTCTCTTATCCTTTTTCATCTTTTATCATGTACCGATAGATGCGATATAAAGCATTGCAAATAAATATTTATTTGTAAAATATTTTTGCAAATATTTTGGAATTTTTCTAATATTAAGTAACCTTCCTACGTCCATTAATTATACCCTCCACTACTTGTGTGAGTGTATGTAATACGCAGAATGGCTTAAGATCAGACCAGCTTTTATTATAATGATATTGAATCCTTTTTTTTTTTTTCTTTTAAATCGATTTAAGCCTGTCTGTCCGTGTAGTCTCTCTGCCCGTGTAAATTTGTCTTCAAGCTGCAACTCGTTATTTTTCAAATATTTCGATGAAATTTGGTGCATGTTTCATGTTTCAACCACCCTCCTTATAACGCCCTATTCTGAAAAGTCGTTATATGTAATTGCAAAATTGTAATTTTTGAAACTTTTTTTTACAAAAGTGGTTAAATAATATTATTTCGATATTCTAAATTGGTGTGAAAACTTTGAACTGTCTGGGGTGATTTTTTTGAACTCAACTCCCTCTCATATAATAAAAGCTATCGAGTACGATCAACGCGAACCATCAACGCAAAATACAAATACGATATTAAGAACCGTAAAGCGATCGCGGTGCTGGTACTCGATAGAACTATTCGCACAGGCCGTCTAAGCCTTTTGTGAAAAAATGGTCAAATGGTAAAGTTGGATCTTATACATGATATCGATTTAAAATCTGGTAGAAATGTTTCCTTATGTCAGTTACCAAATGAATGTAAAATACAAAAATTGGTTCAATCGATCAATCGAAGCGCCTACGACCTTAGCAATCTACCTATGCTATTTAAAATGCAATGATCATTAATGTGATTGGACAAAAATTAAATAATAAATTTAGAAAAACGAACCTGGTTTGTCTTTTCGGGGTTTCCGATCCCGATAATGAGAAACGGACCCCCGTCCATAATCATATTCGTCATCGTATTCCCTCATCCTTGTCTCATTTACACGATAATCAGTTTCTTCAAAATATTCATCATCGTATTCTTCGTCATACGCGTTATGGCTGCGATGTGATGAGGGCGTCTGTTTCAGACGATGAGATGATTTAAATTCTGGTAACTCTAGATGATTACGATAGCGATTACTCGAATGCGGCCCCATCGAAATTGGTCTATTTATACTAGCTCGCCGTTGACCTTGCGAGGTGTAATTAGAATGCTGACGCTCACAGTGATGATTTTGCTGGCTATCAGCATAGGATTGTTGGCGTTGATCAGTATGATTTAATTGATTTCTGTGAAAGGCTGCTCTTGGTGTAGAATAACTGCGTGAATCTTTGTGATGATGTTTTCTCTGTTCCAGTTCACTGATGGCGTAACGATTCGTTATAATGGGAGTTTTTCGTATTAACTCCTCATCGAGTTCTTCATAATGTGCTAACGATAAACGAGGATCTACCGATTTGGCTCGTCCTCTACTATTACTATTTACTTGATGATTTACGGAACGTCCTCTGCTCTGATGTTGAGTGTTAAGCCGATTCAGTTCACGTGTCTCCCTTGATTCGCGGATTACTTCATCCCTAGGTAAATTTCTAACACTCAGAGTACGTTTAACAGCGGGTGCAAATTCCATTAAATCGTCTGTCGAATCAAATCGTTGCTTAGAATGGCTTAGATAACGCTCACGTTCAATGGTATGGCGGTCATGTATACGATCACGATTTTTTTGACGACTATTAAAACGAGAAGCTCTATTCATTGTTTGCGTATATACAACATCATCGTCGACTAAAGTCTGGCTATCGTCATAGATATGAGAATTACGGGTACTACCACCTCGACTTAAAGACGGTGGTGCGATTGTATGTTGATGTTGGTGCTGGTGGCGGCGATCGTTGCGTCGATCGACTGTATTGTGCGTATGTTTGCTAGGTGTACGGCCATATTCGAAATCTCGTACACCTGTTCGCAATTCGGGATCTGAGTAGGCATGTGGAAGGCCGGCCGAATTTGATGAACGCTGACTTAACTTAATTGATCTCCGATAAGGTGGCGGTTGAGAACGTGACGAGAATCGCTGTGCTCTTACCGATCGTTGGCGACTGCGTTGCCGCGAACGTTTTGAAGTTCGTGTGCATACATAACAACATACACGCCAATAAATGAAACTAAAAGGAGGGAAAAATTGAAGAGCGAGAAAAAAAAAAAACATTTTTTTTCAAATATCAAATTTACCGAAACGACGTAGCCATTACGTCGCCTATATTAGACAGACATAATAGCATTAATGGTATACCGATAATGGCATAAAAAATTGTTGTAACCTTTCCCCAATCGGTACGCGGCGAAATGTGTCCATAACCTTAAATAAGAAAAAAAAAAAACAAATAAGCATATTATAGTCGGGCAAATCCGACCATTAAATTACCCCGCACCATCTTGTCTAACACAATATTTATTATTATTATTATTATTATTATATATAGATCAGAAAAATTACATCTCATTTATTTATATATATATATATATAGAGAGTGATAATTTTCATGTGGCATATGCATGGGGAAGCGGGCCCAAAATGCAACCTAATGCAATACAAGTTTAATTCTTATATAGAGCGAGATCCAAAAATAGGCGTACATGATCTAAATTTTGTGGACTTAATTTTTGTATGGAATTACTATAATATTATGGGTCAAGTTCGATCACCAAATATTAAAACTTAGACTTTTCGGCTCTACAAAGGATCAATTTTTATGAAAATCCTTATTAGGGTAGGAACCAAAGAATAGCCTGAAATAGGCGAAATTTGGTACATTTCATTATTTATGTTAAATTACTATTGTGATATAATTTGCATCATAAAGCATTGAAATACTTATACTTTTTTTTGTCCTATGAATTTCAGTTTTCGTTGAATGCGAGGGGACTCTGAAACTGCCACAGCCGGTTCAAAGTTTCCATATTTACAATTTAGAATGTCGAGCAATTTTATAAATTACAATTTTTTTCTCCATATAGTGACAGTTTCAGAATCGAACGTCATATGGGAAGTGATCGAAAAAGTGAACAAATCCGAAACATTTTCAATAGCGTGCGTCCTTCATCAAAAAATTCTCAAAACTTTGCGATCTATAGCTTGAACAGAAATTTACATGGACAGACAGATGGACGGATAGACAGGTTTAGATCAATTCAGATTATAATTCTGAATCGATCGGTGTAATAAAAGATCGCTTCAACCAAGTGTAGAACGTAACAAGCCGATTATATAATTTAAATTTATGAAAAGTCCAATTGCTTCAGCGCGCATATATGCATTCATCTTTTCATAAGATGATTAGATTAACAAGTCGCATACGCATTATCGTGTAGTAAAAGAAAATTTTGCTTATTATTTATTATCAATTTAAAAATGTTATTACCCTTCAAAATAAACAAGCATGACTGTCATCATAATATAATCATCGCGACGATGGAACGAGCGTTGCTTTTTCTATTGTTTAAAAAATTGCGTAACAAATTTCCTATGCCTAGCATTGAATTAATACCAATAATAAAAGATGAACAATCGATATGCTATAGTAAGTAATACGACAAAAAAAAAAAAAAAAAAAAAAAATTATTCCGCCCAAATGCAATCTGTCTAATGTCCGCTACTTGTGTACTATACTTGATTACAAGATCTTATGCCGATCTATTCAATCAATAAATCAATTCAAAAATTGTCTCCTACGTATCGTATCTCAAATTTTACTTTTTTTTACGCATTTTTCTAAGAAACAAAAATACATATTTAACGGTTGTTTGATAATCGTAGGACCCGATCCTCGAGAAATCCTCTAAACTGACAAACAAAACAAGTAAGAAAATTATATTCGGCATGGGCATGGGAATCTCTCCAATCTCCAACACTATGCTTTTAGCATTCTATTCCCTCAAGTTCTTTTATTGAACAACCATACCCATATCGCTGATATTATTAAGCAATAGTTAAAATTGCGTTGCCTGTCATATTGAGCTTAGAATGAAACCAATTTGAGCAAAGTAGTTTCAAGCATTTTGTCTTCTTTGCATTATGGTAAATAAGCATAAAACGTCAAAAAAGTGAAAAAAAATAAATAAAAATAAAATAAAATAAAATTTAATTACTTGTAACTTTATGTGGGCATGACCGATTTTTTTCCATTTTTACACGTGAAAAGTATAAGTACTTCGTTAAGTAAATGTGGATCAATGTGGATCAATTTTCTAACTTTTATAATTTTATAAATGTGTAACAAGCAAAAGCCTAAAAATTAATTGTTAAGAAAAATGGAGTTGCGTTCAATGTATGCTCCTCTGCAAGCTTCTGCTCTGACCAATTTCTTTGCCCATTTTTTATACCTGCGCCCTGCGTCCTATAACTTGTAATGTTTCTACGACCAGAAGAGTGCTAACAACAAACAACACACAGACGGACAGACATTTGGTTTGATCAATTTTCAGAATTTCACGCTGATCAAAATTGGATAATACTTTACAGAGACTCTGAAAAAAAAAAAAAAAGCAAAGGAGTACAACGGCGAGCCAGCGCCTATTAACGCATGCTAGTATACTTTTAATAAAAAGTTTTGTTAAGAAAGTTATGTGTGTGTGTGTGTGTGCGTCCTGTAAGAAACGAATAAAATATTTATGCTGAGCTGATCCCAACGATTACAATTGATGCGTGCACATGTGGAAAGATTATTGAAATAATGAAACCTCTGGCACACACACACACATATATATATATATATATATATATATATATATATATATATTAATCCTGCAAGACGATCCATCTAACTACTCAATCAAGCCGTCTGCACTAAAAAAGCCCCACATTTGATTGGAGCTGTAGTGGAAGTAGTAAAGATTCGCCACAAGGCGAACACAGTTCAGTTATCTCCTATCATTCATTAGACGAAGGCGATTTCTATTCAACGATTGTCTGCAACGAAGCATTCCGTACCTTTGTAAGGTTCCATTCTCTCTCCATATTTGCTTTATTTGCATTAATTATTTTTCCATTTTAAATTCAGTATTTAATCATTTATCATCATCATCATCATCATCATATGAAAGCCAAATTTGAAACTCTATGAACGTGTCGTAGCTTTTAATAAAAATCTTCATATACCAGAGCAATGATGAATTGCTTTACATAAACGAAAATTGTTTTGCTACGACGATCCGTAAATGAGATCTCATCATGATGTTCAAAACATCTGATCGATTATGTTATTGTTATTATTTATTATTATTAATACAGAAAAGGGGAACAAAAACTCTCGTGCAGTTTTGCTTGCTTTCGTATAAAATTATTAGCGCGCAACAGGCCTTTGAAAATTCTATATTTTTCGTATGTATTCATTACATGTATATATATAAACCTGAGTATGAGTTAAATTTTGCTTTCTAAAGATATTATGAAATTTTTAATATAATAAATAATAAGCAAATGTACTACCGATTGCAGATATCACATTGACAGAATATTATATATACGCACTATACGTCTCTATGATTATCAATATTATCAATGCTTTTCAAATTCTTTTCCCTAATCCTCGTTAGGCAAGGCTTGAAAAAAAAAAAAAAAAAAAAGGCACAGTCTAAACATTCTTGCATTTAATTATTAAATGAAATTCTTTTTTCGTGTAATCTCTTTGACCTTTGATCACAGCGAGATCTTAACATTAGGTAGAAATTTCCCAAGAATTGATTACGAATTCTATTTGCCTTTGAAAATTTGTTCAGTGACATATATCGAACTCTTCTTTGCATCATATTTTTCTATGAATACATTTACTTGCGCGGCCTCAATCATCAAAACTCTTCATCATATACTCAATCAGTCGTTGAGGTCTCCAGAACAGTTGATTGCCAATCTATTATCCATGCATGCAAATTGGAGCATGAATCGAAATTTGTTACGATAATCAAAACTTTGGTATTTCGATTGTTAAATATAAAGGTGCACCGGCCCGGCATTTGCTTTGCATTACACAAAAACGCAAAAAAGTCAAAAACTCTTGTTCCGATGTAATCGACTTTGATCGCGGTTACCGCCAATCTATTGCGTTTATCATAATTCGTTAATAGTTAGTATGTCTGTCGATATAGTGTAACTTGAAATTGTGCCCAATTATGTTGAGAACTTTCCATATTAAAACTTGTTAGAGTTAGTCTTAGTCTTAGGGTCGGCCGGAGCTCATTCTTTATTTATTAAGCAACTAATTGAAAATGAGTGAAAGAGCGAAAGAGAGAAGTAATGAAACGACTACAATGCTTTATTAAAATAACATTTTTTTGAGACCTTTTTACATAATATTAAAATCTGTTGATAGTGCGTTTACTCTATATATATATATAGAATATACATCAAAGTCGCCTAACAAACACGCACTTCTGCACAAATATGTATAATGTGTACGTATACATAATGTGTTTATGTTTACATATATATATATATATATATAATGTAAACGTATATACACATAGATATATATATATATAAATATGTATATATATGTATGTATAAAGTGATAGCACGCACAAACCCCCACCACATGTCATAGATAAAAAAAAAATCATATATTGTTTAAAGAGCAGTTGATGGCAAGTGCCACACATGAATGATTTTGGAAAACGATATTCACAAAATGTTATAAAAGAATCTACACAACATAAATTTTATGAAAATTTATATAGCGACTCTTATAGAGCAATACTTCACGCGTAAACGGTATAAAATCGAAAAAAAATTAATTTACAAAAAAAAAAAAAAAAATGTTTTACTTGAATCTATTCTCGTTATCCTTACTTGTGATGATTTTAAGTGCTTTCGCTGTCGAAGAAGGGCAAAGACATTTAAAAATTCTTTCTTTATTACCTGCCAATCTGAGAGGAGTTTTCTACGCTGATCCGGCACGTGTTGAGCCACGTGAACGTGAGCCAACTACAAAACGGCCTCTACGAGAAGAAAAGCTTCTCGATAATATCGAAGACTATGAAAATAGTACGGAACAAGAAGTGAAAGAAGAGGAAGCATCACGAATTAATAATCCTTATCCATTAGCAACTAATCCTCGATTTATTGGATTCGGTAATTATCCGAGCAACGGTATATTAGTAGGACCCGGCGGGCCAACCGGCATTATAGGACGACCGCAACAGTATCCTAATGCTTTCCTAAATTATCCTTCGATAGATTATCCAAATTATAATAATGGCTATCTGGCAGCTACCTATCCCTTACACTACGGCATGCATATATCTTATCCGAATCAATTATATCCTGTTCAACCTTTTTACACGGAAGGCTACGGTCTAGCGAATAATAATTTCTTAGTTGGCCCTTTCCCACACTTAAGATCAAACATCAATGAACACGACGAGCGGGCCAAGGAAGCCGAAGACAACAATCTTAAAACTATTAAAACGAATCCAAGTGATGATAATAGATTTAATAAGGAGTTGGAAAACATTCAATAAATTGCATTCGAAACAAGTATTCATTCAAAATTTTTGGTTTTTCATTTTCTTATTATTATTATTATTATTATTATTATTCCACCCGATATCACATGTGATAGATACAACGATACAGATTAAGTAACATTCAGAAAGACTTTTTAGATAGATTCACCTTTTAAGCTTATCTGTCCATCTGTCCACCTATATTTCATAAAATTTGTACACGGACCAGTTTTTCGATCAATTTCTCCGTAGCGTATGATGTTGTAGAGCATGAAAGCGTTTTTACGTAACTTGCTTACCTATCGTTGTTATGACAATTATTGAATAAAACAAAGATCCGGCAAATGTCCATTGCGATTTCGTTATGTCTTCATCGCCATCCCAACCATCCGACTTCATAACTGTTAATATTTGCTTCTCAAAATTTGCTAAATCCTTCTTCACATCGGCTATCCAATCGCTTTCATTCAATACGGAAACATTATCCGATGATCTCCAAATTTTCTCAGTTAAATTTAAGCGCATATAGTGTATCCCTTGTTTAACCTACATTTCAAATCAATGGAACAAAAAAAAAAAAACAAATACAAATATTCGAAATATAATAATAATTTAATGTGTGTGTGTGTGTGACTGAGCATCGTATAAGAATAATGATCATATTTTAAAATGTTATATAACACATTTCATAATGACATGGGGATTATGTGTGATATTTTTAGATAAGAAATTGTTATCGTTACTTAGCTTAATTGTGTAATAATATCTCTCACATGTAAATATACATATACATATATAAAAAGATTTATATTTTGTATTCTAGAAGTAAAATTTTGATATGCACTCGCTGATGCTTCAACTAATGAAAATTGAAATTTTATGATATCGCTATGTTAGCTTAGAACCGTACAGTTACAGATCCACGGTAAGCTTGATTTCCATGGCACCTTAACGACATACAATTTTACATAATTAAATTGATTCGCGAACTGTATCAAATATCGTAAATAATTTGAATAACATTTAAAAAAAATAAAGGCCTGGAAGTCTGAGAGACTTTACACGAAAGCTGCTTAGAGAAAGATTATTGCATGGGTTTATTACGCCCGTCTCACAAGTTGGATGTTAAATGTGCAGCAGCAGCAGCACCGAGAAGGACTTGAGATAGACGCAATTTTTATTGCTTGGCTGCCCGTTTATTAATATGTCTACCTTGTTAAAACCCTGCATCACTTGTGTTATAGGGTGTATTAAGTTAGTGCCGACATATGTAACGCGCAGAGGGACGTACGATAGACTCACCTTCCAATTGTACCGAACAATTCAATATCATAATATGAATCCATCTAAGCCGGCCTGTCCCCCTAATGTCCATGTCCATGCAGATTTCCGTTCAAGCTATAGGTCGCCAAGTTTTGAAATATTTTTACGCAATTTTTTGCCGTAACATGTTTTAAATCAAAGACGAACACTATTGAAAATGCTTCGGATTGATCCACTTCTTCGACCACTTCCCATATAACGTCCGATTCTTAAAAATCGTTATATGGAAAGAAAAATTGCAATTTTCAAAATTTCTCGGCAAAAGTGGCTAAGTCGTAGTGTTTGATATGGAAAATTTTGCATCGTACCCTAATAAGGATTTTTATGAGATATAGTAAAAATTACAATATTTCTTATATACGGTAATTAATGATCGGTGACTGGTTATGCGATTGTAAATATAATTTAATTCGTTTTCAATGCATCTTTGGCCGAAATTTTGTCTATATCTGAAGATGTCTGAAATATGGTATCTTATGGATTAAACAGAAAATTGCATAGGCAGACAGAAAAGCAGGATTGAGTCGATATAGAAAATGATCCATTGAATCGATTGGTTTAATAGAAAGCGATCATAAGTTAAGTCCATCTGGCTGCATAAACTTGAGCTCTTTTCCTCATATCAATTGTAGAGGGCCTATTAAATGTTTTGCATGGTTTTGCAGCATAGGAACATGTATTCGAAAATCCATAAATAACGTGCATTCTTGTAAAGCGTAGATAGCGTACTCAATAGTAGTTATATCTATTTGTATGCCATCTACGCTTTACACTTTTCTGGGGTAACCAAAATTTATTATTTTCATATTCCTTTTATCACTCGCGGTCCATGGACTCACCCACAATTACAAATAAAGTGAAAATGATCGAATCTAACTTGTGTAGGATGATGACCTACTCATTCTATATACCGATCGTATATTGCATATATATGGAGCTAACGATTTAAGCTTAATAAAAATAGATAACTACAATTAGAATTCGTGCGATGTGCTATTCCACACATAATTCTATCCTACGTAGAAATCTTTTATGCCGACCACCATGATCGTAAAAAATACGAAGAAAAATCACTTTACCAGTAACACCACAGTAACCACAGTAGGAGCAGTTTTTTTATTTATTTTTTTTCATTAATGAAAATGTTTACCCACAAGAAAACAAAAAACGAAATTCTCATGCTTTATAATATGGACTGAGCGCAATTGATTTCTTCTATTTTCAAAATAAAAGATCTTATCGTAGAGGCATGTTGGCGTTGTAGGCGTATCCTTTGGAAAATTTAGATCAATTGCAAATTCTTTTGCAAAGTAGTATATTTACCACAGATATTATATAGTTGAGCGGACGGACAGATGGACATACAAATAGATTAAAATGTTTCAAAATATATTCCGAATTTAAGACCGGCCAAGAATTTGGGCTTGTTAAGTAAGGCGTAATCAATTTTGCCCATTTCTATACAAGTTTTTATATATATATAGTATCGCCCCATGGTAAATACGTTTAAATTGTTGTACATTTATCTGCGGTAGTTATTGGTTAATGAGGAAAAACGCAATTTTTTATACCTTTTAAGAAATGAAATGAAGATATCGTCAGTTTATGTGGCATTGTAGATATGCTCTTCCAGTGATTTGCTTTGATTTTCAATGCCAACCTGCGTGCACAAACTTGCACTTGAATGATTCTGCGAAATTCAGAATTCAGAAGTCAATAACTTCATTTTTGGCGACCAGGAGAATGTTTACAAGAGACGGACGGACGGACGGACGGACGTACATGTTTAAATCGATTCAGGTCTCTATAGCTTATTTTGACAAAATGAATCCATCCCTCGGTACTGGGTATCAAAAAAAAAATATTTCAATCTATTATAATATATATACAAACATATATATATACATCATACAATCAAGTAGAATTATATTAAAGAAAAAATAATAAATATAAAATAAATAAATGCTGATTTTATATAAGATAAATAAATATTAAATAATATTATAATGAAAATATGAATGAGAGGAAATCATAATTTGAATAAAATGTAAAAGAAAAATTTACCTCAATTTCGTGGGGTCTCTCTAAATAACGAAATAAATAGGCTCCGCCGACACAATATGAGACGACGAGTAAAATTAAGGTCACGTGCGATACAATGCAAGTGATTACTTTCCAAGAGAAACAGATGGCCGTCACACAACGACCGCGTTCTGGTTTCGTTTGCTCAAGCATATGCGGTGGTAGAGATTGAGCGCGACGCGTAGACATGGCGCTAATCAATCAATCAATATTTTGCTGTCGCTCGCTCGCATCAATTAAATCATAATTAATATCAGATCAACAAAAACAACAATAACAAGAACAGCAATAGCAGCAGCAGCACCAGCACCAGCA